GGTATGTTGGAGTTTTGCTTGTTTGCCACTGTGGAATCTGCTTTTCATGCTCCATGGCCTTTGACTAGTCACTTTTGCCAGTTTGGCTTTCAGCATGGGTAGCCCAGTCTTCTAAATATGGAATATTTGCTTTTTTCAGGAAGAGGAGCAAGGACTGAGAAAGGTGATTTGGTCCATTCTTTTCCCACTGAGCTTCTTGACAGTCACCAACCAATATCTGTTTATTTTCCTGTAGGAGAAAAATGACAGCTGTTGTGGAGAAAAGACTGGAGCAAGTTGCATGTGTTTGTGAACATTTGAAATTTATTTGGTAAGCAAAAGAATTCTAGTGAGAGAAGTTGGCTTCCAGCTGCAGAAAAATAAAAGATTTTTATAGGAACAGTAGAAATTAGGAGGTACAATGTGTTTCAGTTCTGCACTTCTTGTTACCAGGGTGTTTGCAAGATGCTGCCTACCAATCGCATTGAAACACCACTGCTGTTCAGTCAAACCACCCGGAGCTCCCTGTGGTTCCTGGGCTTTCCCCTTGAAGTCAAAGAGGGTAATTGGTGCCTGCTGGTGGCAAGATTTGTGTTACTCAGCTGGGCAGCCTAGAGGCAGCTGCTGCAGTAAATCTTGCAGCTCTTGTGTTAGCTGACACCCTCCAGCCCTGCAGGCAGTGCCAAGGCGGGAGTTGTTTCTGGAAGTGCCACTGGTTTTCTGCCGTTTGTTTCCAGGGGTGTGCAGGTACTGTGAGGAGTCCCATTGAGCTGGAAAGGAAGGAAGCTATTCTTCGAGTTAAAAGGTTGAAATTGAATCAAGGCAATGGAGAATCAAATTTCAGTCTTTCATTGCTTGTAATAGAAAAATCCATGTGCATTGATAGTTCTCCCCAGTCAAGTATTCCTTGTTTGTAGGGCTGCCTGTCAGATTGAGATGGATACCACTGGTTTGAAAATGAAAAACCTCCAGTTTTCATATAAAGGGCAGGTCAGATATGTGTGGTGCATCCCCACCTTTTGCAGCAGATCACATGTAAAACTAAGTAAAGCCCCATTTAAATGACAAAACAATTCTTGGGCTACATGTTAGCTCTTTCCCATAATAGCTGAAGAAAAGAAAAAAATCCTAATAAATAATTAGGGTGGTAATATGTTTGACCATTATTTTTTTAGTATTACTTTTTTCTGTTGCTATTATAACAGAAATGATCCTTTCAAAGACAACTAAAATGCTAATGATAGCTAAGAAGGTCATTCCTAGGAGGTTAAACTGGTTTAATTAGAATTTATGAAAAGGTTACTATAGGAGTGCAGAAAGATGTTAAGGGGTTAACCTATAAGAGATTACATTGTAGTCAGTGTTCTGTTAAAATTTGAATTAATTTTTCCCATGGGTTTTTCACATTCTAATTTTCAACTAAATGAGACATCTGTTTCAGAAAAGGAAAATTTGCTATGGTTGTCATAGCAACTATCATTCTGTAAGAAAATTATTCCAATGGTTACTTTAGAACAGAAAGATAGAAATTCAGTACATAAAGCAGCATCCGATTCTAGCACAAACTCTGATAATTCAGCCCTTTTTGTGTGGCAGATTATTTGGCCTCCAAAACTTGTTCAAATATTTTAAACATAAGGTTAATTGTGCTGTAAACAAATTCACCTCTGATATATTTTCCCCCTTGAATCTTACATGTAGACAATCATTATTCTTATCAGAATAATAAACCAGCTGAATTTCAGTAGGGTGTTGGAGACACTCAAACTGTTCACTTGAAAAAGGTAAGACCTAAATCAAAGTACATTTCTACAGATGAGTGCTTAACTTCAAAGGTGAAATACATTAATGGTGTATGTCTTTAATTGCCAAATAAATTTTCCTTGGGTTGGTTTCTTTTTTTGTGACGATAGTGGATTTTTCTCTTGCAGAACATACATAACAATATTTTCTTTGTCAAATGTAATATTATTGAAAAATACATTATAAAAATAATTTCACTTTTCCTGAGTAAGCACTATCTGCAAATACAGAAATTCTGTACTTGATATAAAGAATTTAACTTTGTTTTCAGATTCTGTCATAAATGCAAATTTTATACAAAGTTGTCTTTCCATGATATCCAGGTCATGGGTTCGTTAATGGGTATTAGAGAAGAAGGCTTTTTCCCTACTCAGAAACTTTTATAGCTGTTTTGTAATAAATTTTCAGAAGAAGGGGCTTGAGGATTTATAAAATCCCTACATGCTTATAATGGTATTTGCTTTGGGGGTGGGGGCACTGAAGTGTGTGATTTGTCTTTCTTCTCTCCAATGTAAAGCATGCCAGCATCCTCCACTGAATCCTTTCTTGGACCTGGGGTATTTTTTCTTTTTTTTGCTAGAAATATTCCAGACATTTCCTTCCATCTCAGGATTGTCACAAAAGACAGCATAATGGCAAATCACACAAGTTGTAACATCTCCCCTTCACAAAAGAACAGCTCCAGCATGCATAACTTACCAGCCCCACTGCCGTCACCACAAAAGGAGCAAGGGAGGGAGGAGGGAGGAACGGGGGAAAGTGCTTCTTGTCTTAATAAGCAGATCATGCCTATTCATAAGGGGAAATGGGCTTTTTTAGAAGGTGGCTGTGTGTAGTCCAGCCCTGGTAGAGGCAGGCAGAAGCTCTCACAGCTGCCTATGTGGTTTGTGGTCATCTGGATTTCAGCAAGATTAAGCTGACTTCTGGTGAGACCTGTGGCAGTCATGAATACTACTCTTTAAAAATGCTTCGTTGTAGACTTAAAATAATTATTTTGCGAGGTTTTGACCTGTGCTTCTTGGGCAAACACTGATCTTTCCCCTTGGTTTCTTTTCTGTGTCTGGCATACCTATGGGACAGTGCTTCCCCTCGCTTCCCATCAGAGACCCAGGGACAGTACTGTCCCTGCCCACCCCAGGCATATCCATTGAAACTGTCAGTGACTTAAAACACATGATTTACTGTGCTGACACTTCTTTTGCCACCTATTTGCCCTTGCAAATATTTTTGTCAGTGAGATCTTGCAGCAGGAAAACGTGCTCTGGGCCTACAGACAATTTGCCCAACAGTTGTGTATTTTCATCTTGGTGAAGAAGAATACTTGGCATGTTGAGTGTGGAATGCAATCCCAAGGCAGGAAAGGATGAAGGGTTTAGAAAAAGGCTAACCACTGTATATTTTTATGAAGCCTCCCACTTCTGTAATAACCAAGCGCCTCACAAACATCAGGTTTTTTATTTTCGAGGCATTCCTGTGTGGTAAAAATAATTTCCTTACCTCAGTGGTGAGCTGATGTAAGGAGGGGCAGATCCAGCTCCACAGAGCTTGTGTGGTTGCTGTGTGGCAATGTCACATGGTAACATTGCTGGTACCTTGCTGCACAATAAGCTAGTTAGGAGAATCCCATGATTGTGTAGGAAAAGACCTCTGAGATTATTGAGTCTAGTCATAAACCTGATGCCACTAAACCATGTCCCCAAGTACCACATCTGCACATCTTTTAAATGCTTCCAGGCATGATGACTTAGCCACTTGACCTACCAGGGAAGAATTTTTCCCAATATCCAATCTGAACCTCCCCTGGTGCAACTTTAGGCCATTTCTTCTTGTCCCATTTATTGTTACCTGGGAGAAGTGACCCAATTCCCACATTTCTAAAACCTCCTTTCAAGAAACTTTGGAGAGATAAGGTCTCCCCTGAGCCTCTCTCTAGATCCTGGCAGCAGGAAGGTGAGGAAAGGCTGCTTGGATTGCTGAACAGGTAACCAGAAAAGTGTGAGTTTGTGGCCTGATGTGGGGATGAGTCTTTTTCTTAGCCAGCTGCCTTGGCCTGAGCAATGTTACTCAGAATAAGATTTGTGCTTCACTGCTAGTGCTGTTAGCATTTCTCCTTCACACACCTTCTTTACTTTCTTCATCACAGCTTCTGGAGGCTGGGACATATGTTTTTGGTCCCAATAGCAGATGTTTGAAGTTTCACCTTTTATTTTTTTCCCTGGGATGCCTGTTTCTCAAGACCCTGGTTGTCCAGGGCATGTGATAAAGAGGCAGGGGATGAGAAAGAAAGCCTTTCAGTCATCAGTAGTTGAGCCTCTTTTTGTCTGTTGAAGAAAAACCTTTTGTTCATTGTTCTTCAAATATGGGTATGGCCACAGGATGCCAGTCAAGAAATTATTAAAACTTCCAGCCTAAAACTAACCCCTAAATTTTATAACCTAGAACTGGAGCCTAGTCAGCAAGACATAGCTAACACTGTGATATAATTGCTATGAAGTATAGTTTTTTAATCAATGGGATAGCAAGATACCGATAAATTATGTTCTGACTGGCAGTGTTACAGTCCTGCTGCTCCATGATGAGCTGCTCCATGAGCACATTTTTAAAAAGGTAAATGCCTGTCTGATAAGGAGTCCTGAATATGGAAAGTCTTACTTAAAAGCAAGTCAACACACCAGAGGACAGAAGAAATTTGTGTGTAAGAGAAGCAGCAGCATTCCTGTTCTGATGGGATGTGTCCAATTAAGGAAACAAAGTAGCAGAGATTATGTCTCTGACTTTGGAGCAGGATCTGTCATGGTGCCAGGGTCTGTCCTTGTCCAGCTGGTCATAGGCTAAGGTCCAAACATGCTGGGAGCCAATGTGAAACATAAATCACATGGAGGTGTCTGAGACAGCTGTTCTTCTAAATGTTGTAAGAGTCAGCATGATAATCCACACATGGAGATCTTGGTATCCAGGGCTTGTAAGTAGTTGGAGTAATACTGTGAATATTTTACTCTGTGCTGTCTACTGAAAGCAGGGAGCACTGCTCGTTTTTGCTGTACAAGTTAAACTACACTGCTTGTATGGAAAGAGAGGATTATTGTGCACACAAAGAAGAAAATGAATGCTGTTTGTGTCTTCAAATTCCGTGGTAGTAAAGAGTCAACCTCAGTATTTTAATTAGATAACCAGTACATGGAAGTAGCACTGAAGACATTCTCCTCCTCTCTTGGCAGGCAACCTTGGTTTTATGGCTGGGGCTTTAATCTTCCACGAGGCCAAGCACTATTAGAGAAATGGAACCTTATTCCAGATGGAATAGATATTCTTATAACACATGGACCACCTCTCGGTAAGAAAATAATAGTGTCTTAGCTGTGTATTTCAGATGATTATATGGTAACTGATGGCTCTCCTTAGAAAAAGAGTGCAATCCTGACTTACAAAAGTCAAAAGCAACATGCATACTGATTTCAGCAGCATCAGAACTTCAGCTTATGATTACCTGTGATATCTCTGCTCAGTGGCAGGGAATTAAATAATGGCTTTAAAAATAAAATGTTAACACGTAAAGCCATAATGAACTTTACAAATATGCAGGGTCTAGTTTTCCTATGCACATCTCTGATCTGCCACTGGTGAAATTACTAGATTGAAAGCATGGAGCCTGTTTGAAGAGAAATGCAGGATGAGGATTTTTTTTTTTTTATCACTTTCTCCCTGACTTGCTACTGCATTCTCCCACCAACAAGTACCCAGAATCTCTTTTTTTCCCCTCATCATGCTGACTTGGTGCCCCTTCTGCCTCACAAACCCAGATGCTCCACATTGTTTGCCTGTTCGTTGAACAGGATGGTTGAATTGCTTATCTGCAGTACAATTTGGCAACATGAACAGATAAAAAAAACAATTTTGCTTGTGCGTTTTCTGTTATTAAGCTATCTATCTAAAAGAGATTTCTCGTATTCCTAGAAAATTTTGACATTACCTTTGCTACAGAAATCACACAAACTTGTCCAGATTCAGTAAAGGCTTAAGGCTTTTAAGCTTTTTTTAAATGTATTTAACATATAGCAGTCTATATTTAATGTGACTGTGTGTTTGACTCTCACTAATTTAATAAATGGGCATGAACAAGAAGCATGTACTCAAGTGTTCTGCTGAGCCTTACTGTGTTTTGTGTGAAAAGAAGGTAGTTGGTTTCTTTAAACCTTTAGATTCCCCAATTTCCTGAAGCTAAAACCCTCATCTTCCACCCTTTCTTCTCTTTCAGAGCTTGGAGGAGAAAGTATCTCAAGGGTTTGTGTTTTGTTTTCTTTAGAAAGACATGTTTGCATCCCACTGCTCACTAATCCTGGGGGAAAGTAGTTCTTTGTTAGCAGAGTTTCTCACAGTTAGGGGTGTGTGTTTTGATTCTTCACCTAAGTGGAGTCTCATGCCGTGCCATGGACTGATTTTAATATGAGCCTGCATTGTAAAAGTGGATGTCTAAAATAAGTGTTTCAGCCCCCAGATAATCAGCTCCAAGCCATTGGTATGGGGGTCATCCCTGCTAGGGTCCAAGGCACAATGCTGTGTCTTTCATGTAGTTTTATTTATAAGTCGTATGTAAAACTTTTTCAGAAGCTTTTTCAGCACTTTGAAAACCTCTTTTAAAGCCAGCTGGCCAGCTGTAAAACAATCCAACCTTCAGCTGACTGAAGAGTCACTTGAAATCTAATGTTGGAAAGTGGAGAGATTCCACTGCTTTAGCCACCAGGCCTCACCAGTAGCCTCAGGCATCAGCAGAGGGAAAAGGACCCCTAAAGAGCACTGCAGAGCTAGCACTCAGCAGAAAGACTTTAATAATAAATGTAATAGTAAATTTAATAATTGAAAACTAAATTAATAATTGCAATAATTCTGAGGAAGTGCCACCCCTCCCCAGTGATTGTAATGGAGTAATGTGAATTCCCCCCATTTCCATGACTCAGTATGTGTTTGTAGGGTTTTTTTTCTTTTAATTGTTTGTCTTCAATCATCCTCCAAAAATTTCCTTTTTTTTTAGAAGTTCCTGTTTCTTTGTCTCTCTCTTATTGATGCATTAATAGATGGCTCAAGCACAGAACCCTCTGCCTGAGGGTAGGAGCTGTTGGTCTCCCTGACACCCATGGCAACAAATATATGACACTTCAAAGAACTTGGCACTCTGCTTAACTTACAGAACCACCTCATTGTGCAGCTCTGTCCACAGACCCTTTGGGAGACAGGATCCTTCTTGACCCCCCCACTCCTCCCCCCCCCCCC